TGGGATAGTGCACCCATATAACTCCCTAGTAGACTAGCTACCTGAGTAAAGAGTTCCCACAGACAGCGCCAAATGAAGTAGCTAACCCTCCATCCCCTTCCTCCTCCCCCCCGACGACTAATACGATATTCTCCGATTTGGAGTTAGGCGAAAACCAGCAACTAACCCTTTACGGCTTTAAAAGGCCTAATATTAGTCTAAGGGAGTTAGTCCACTTATGTAGTAGAGCTGTGATCTCTCAAAGAGCGATGTAGGATAGTGCACCCATATAACTCCCCAATAGATTGGCTGCTTGAGTAGAGAGTTCCCACAAATAATATCAAATGAAGCAACTAACCCTTCCTGACTGGCACAATATTGTTTGCTTTAGAATTAGGCGAAAACTAGCAGCTAACCCCTCGCGGCTTTAAAAGGCCTTATACTAGTCTAAGGTAGTTAGTCCACTTTTGTAGTGGAGCTATGATTTCTCACAGAGCGAATTGGGATAGTGCACCCACAAAGGTGAAGATGGTAGATGTGATAATGGTAGATGGAATGTGGAGATGGTGGATATGAGAGCTTAGAGAGAAAAAAATGAGAGAAGGTGAAATTGTGAGTAAAATGGAAAATTCACACCTTGTGTAGAGGGTATTAAGGTCAAAGAAATTTTTTTGTTAGTTCTGTTAAGTGACAAACACTGACAGGAGGGTCAGTGTAATTTCTGAAACCTCAAAGAGAAATCTGTTTGGAAGATAAACCTCAAGGGATGTTAGTGTAATTTACCCTATGAATTATCAAACTTAGTATTACATATACAAAAATAAAATGATAGTTTTGATTAAAAAGCTTGGCGCCATTTTGCAGACAAAATTTTTCGTCACCATTGTAAAACAATTTTAGAGAGGAAATAATTTCATCTCCAAATGCATTATTTTTAGAGAGGAAAACCAATTTTTACTGCCTACGGACGCAGGGACAGAATCTGAATTTCATTACTATAGAGATTTAAAAATATTTTTTCACCATATAGATAAACACACATGTATTTACAATACAATATATAAATTATATATATAACCAATCAACGCAAGGCATAAGTACCATCAAATGGGACATATAAATTATATATACATATAAAAAATTCAAATATCATATAAATAATTTCTAACAGAATGAAAAAAAAAATTAGTAGAAAACAAAAAGAAAAGGTAAGATTAGAGAAGAATGAGACATATATATTTTATACTAAGAGCTCATTTTATTTATAAAATAATATATATATATATATAGATATTTAGAAGTATTATGATAAATAAAATTTTTTTACAAAAATAGAGGAATCATGACCACCCATAATCTACTTCTTGTTCCATCCATCTCTTGCAACAAACTAAAATTTTTGCATCGCTCATCTCCATCGCCATGGGAATAAGGTGGCTCATGGATCGGCACGGATGGCAATTGGCTCCCCTATATTAACTGTTTGGATGGAAGAAGTGCTGTTTCATTTGCCTTCACTTGTGCTTTTTGAATGTTTGTAATTTGCCTCATCTCCAATTCATCATCACATGTTTTATTAAATTTAAAAATTAATAAAAAGTATCAAATGAGGTAGTCTAACTTTTTCACTAAATTTATATTAAATGGAGTCAAAATCAAAACTTTCATCAAATAAAAGAAAATTTTCATTTTTCATCAAGTTTAAATTTATCATTCAACGAGACATCCTAATGGACATTCACTAAAAGCAATTTAGACATTTTTTTGTTTATTTGTGGACGATGTCCAAGACATCCACTTGCTCAAACAATCCAAAAAAAAAAATCTAATTAAAATTTTAATTTTAACATTAGAGTAGATGGTATCAATTTAAATTTATCATCAAAATATTACACAAATTTAATAAAAAAAATTTAATTCGCCGATGGAGGTCGTCATATGGCTTTATCCCATTAAAAAACAAAAAACGACATGCATGCAACACATGTTTGAAAAATAAGTAATGATAAAAGCACATGCAGTGATGCAACACGTGGCCGACTTTAATTGAATCCAATTTAATTGAGTTTTTTTTTTATTACATATATATATATATATATTTTTTTTTTTTTTTACATATATATATTTTAATGTTTAGTGAACTGTTTTAATATTTTATGATTTTTTTAGTACACCTAATCAATATTCTTAAAGAGTATAATATTTGTGAAATAAAAACTTTAAAAAAATTCACCAAATATCAAAAAAATAATATATATATATATATATATAAATTCAATGTATTTTCATATTTCATTGTATTCAATCAAATGTTTAAAGATTTTTGTATAATTTTTTTACTTTTTAAGTATATTAAGATTAAATGTATCTAAAAATTCACATCTTCAAATCTTAGTGAGTTCTCTGTGTCCTCTCTTTACTCTCTTAGTAGTTTAAATTTCGGCTCCAATCTCAGAATCTGTAAATCCATTTGGAATAGAACTATTCCATCCAAGGTTTCATTTTTCTGTTGGCTGGCAATGTAAAACAAAATCAAATCTTCAGAATTTTTGCACAGACTTGACATTCTGGACAGCAATGTTTCCATTCCTTGCCCCTTCTGCAGAGTTGAACCTGAATCAGCTGTTCATGTTTTGCTTCTTTGCCCCTTCTCTTGGTTGATTTGGTCTTCTTTTATTCATGATTTGGGATTTTATTGGTGCATATATAACTCTACTACAACAAAAAAGGTCTATGGTGACGAAAATGCATGACAAAAAAATATTTTGTCTCCAAATATACATGTTTTAGTGATGAAAATAAGATTTCGCCTCCAATTGTACTATTTTTAGAGACGAAAACCAAATTTCGTCACCAAATGCTTAAAATCGTGAGAAAAAATTTATTCGTCTCGAAATTTTATTTTTCGTCACAAAACAGTTTCTCACCCAGGAAAAATTTGGTGGAAGATTTGGCGCCATTTTGGAGACGAAATTTTTCGTCACCATTGTAAAACAATTTTAGAGAGGAAATAATTTCATCTCCAAATGCATTATTTTTAGAGAGGAAAACCAAATTTTGTCACCAAATGCTTAAAATCAATAAAAAATAAAATTGAACCAAGAGATAGATATCTCTCTATTTAGATGCATGTATTTTACTTTCTATATCTCTCTTTGTCACCCCCTCACCCATTCATCTCCGTCACACCGTCCGTCCATCTATGTCGTACCGGCCAACCCACACGTCGCCAACTGGCGCTCGCTACAACAAGTATCTCTCTCTCTGTCTCTTCCTCTCCTTTCCTATTTTCACCTCACTCTCTTTCGCCCTACCATTTTCTCGCTTTTCTGAGCTCCGTCACCCCTCTTCTCACTTTTCCAACCTCCGTCACCCCTCTTCTCTATCTTGCTATCCTCCTTTTCGTCTCACTTTCGTAACACATTTTTTATCCTAATTTCACTACAAGAAAAAACACTTTTGGCGACCACCATTTTTGAGTTGGTCGCAGATAGTTGACTTTTTGCGACTAACATTTTTTTGGTCACTAATGAGTTGTGTTTTTTGCGACCAACGACATTTTGGTAGCTAATAGGTAATTTTTTGGGACCAAAAAAAAAAAATTATGATCATGGAAAGTAATAGCGGGAGAGGGGAAAAAAAAAACGGGATCTCAAAACCTTTGGTGACTAATAAATTGTGTTCATAGAAAGGAAAATGCCATATTTTGTATCAAAACTACGTAGTTTTGAATGTTTCCTAATATTAATTAAATTTGTTACGATTTAAAATAACTATTAATAATCAGTTCAAAAAAAAATATTAATAATTAAATAATAAATTATTAAGAACATAATAATAATTATTTTTTAATAGAATTATTATTAACTGATTAAAATCATAAAATTTCTAAAATTTATTTATTTTCATTCAAAATATTAATTAAACCTTAATAAAGATAAAATTACAAACATAAATAATAAAACTTAAAAAAATATAAATTAAAACCAATTTTTACTACAAAATTTTACCTCAAATTTCTTCTCAATATTTAAAAAAAGCCCTTCAAAATTTTGCCACAATTAAAATTTCCTCATAAAATTTTGTCTAAATTTCTACTCCCTGGTCCCAATAAAAAGAAAAAGGGAAAAATAGAGAAAGACTAACGGAGATGTGTTCGATAGAGAGAGAGAGAGAGAGAGAGAGAGAGAGAGAAGACGAAGAAGAGATGGAGGGAAAAGAGACCATGAAGAGAGGCAGAGAGAAGAGCAGTCCTTCGGAGTAACAGCCATTGCTTCACTCGTGACAGCCATTAAGTTGCTCGAGCAGTCCTTCGGAGCTACCTCCTTTGCAGCCTGGTTCGTCTTCGCTTCTCCCTCTGGTCGACGAAGACCCGCGAACGAAGCAAACGGAGCCGTCTCACCTCTTCCTCCGACCGGAGCTCTCGCACCTCTCCCTCCCACCGTCCAATTTCAGGTGCATGTTTAGATACTAGGGTTTTGAGTTTTGATTTGAGGCTTTTCAATTTGAAAATTAGGGCTTAGGGTTTTTCAATTTCAAAATTTAGGGCTTTTTAATTTGGGGTTAGTGTTTAACTTGGCTGCTTGTTATGAATGTTTAAATGGGAAGACAAAAAAATTCCTGTTATGAGGGATTTCATTTCTGAATGAAAAAGTAGATACTCTGATTTCTGTAAATTTGTGTTTGGTATAGAAAGAAAAATAAATAAAAATTTCAGAATTCCTGAGCCTCTATGATTTGAAGAGTAGCTTCGTCCAATTCGATTGGTCGTTGTTTGATATCATTTGTCTCTTCATCCCTAACTCAACTGTCCCTCTTCTTGCTTCCTTCCCTTTTCCCTTCCTTCTCTCTCCTCTCTCTCTCTGCTCTCAGTCTCAGGTCCTCTCTCTCTCTCTATATATATATATATATGAATATGTGGTTGAAGTGGTTGCTTTTGTTGCAGCTGTAGCACTGTTGGGAGTGACAGGTGTTGGGAGATGCTGCAAGAGACTTGTAAGAGTGGGAGAATCAGCCCCGGTTTTCGTTTTCTTCAATATTATATTCATTTGGGGCGTTTATATTGGATTGGTTCGACAAGGTCCCTCTTTCTTCTCAGTAATCTGTCTCTCTCTAGTCTCTAATTTGTATCCTCAATATGATTCACTGTTTGATTATTTTACGAATTTTAAAGTCTGGGTTCTGCATACAATGGGATTCGAGTGGTGGGTTTTTTCAACAGTCAGAGATGGTTTATTTATTCATCATATACATGGTGTTTTTAAGGAATTTTTGGGTGTAGATGCCACGTGTAGCTCTACTATTTTGAATTTGACAGTAGGGTCATTACATTTATGTTGGATGTTTGAGGAAAAATGAAGGTGTATACATTTGTGATTGATTGATAAAAGGTAGTGCTACGTGTACCCTATTAACATATAAAAATTTCTCAGTGTTTTCTGTTTGTTTGTTCATTTCTCTGTAAAGGAGTGAGTAATATATTTTTTCCAACCAGATAATAAATTATGTGAGAATGCTCAAATTTTAGTTGGATAGAGATGGATTATTGGTTGCTCATCATCGATATGTATCTACTTTTTCCAAATTGTGACTTGTATGGAATCCTGACATCCTTAAAAAAATTATCTTTTTTTCAGTCATTTCACCTTTGCTAGACGTTATACTCAATGCAGAGTTCTCTATGCTCGTGATTGGTCTATGCAGGTCAGATTATTGTTTCTACACTCAAAATTGATTGAATTGATTTGTTCGTACAAAATCTAGATTTAAGGTTTGACAGAATGAAATTTCAATCATTTATTCATTGTCCTAACTGTGTGTTTCTTGGTGCCAGTATCCTGACAACAGACCCTGGTTATGTTACAAATGAATCTTCCCATCATAACCAGCTTGTTGAGAGTCCTGTCTCAGTATTTGAAGCCCATTCTGAGGTTAAAAAATGTTGAGAAGCCCCTCCAATTAGATATGAATCATATGATTAACACAGATATTGAAATTATCTTCTGGAGCAGGAACTGGTGCCTTCAACTCGTGACGTTCCCTATGAGTTTGTTGCTGAAGAAGTAAGCTGATTCCGGTGATTTCATCAGTTACAGCATTAAATGCCACTGAGTTTTGAGATCACATTTAATTTATCCTTTGAATTTTAGTTTTCAAAATTGGCTTTGGTAGCTTTGCTAGTTTTGTTTCATGTTTTGCTTCTCAAATATTATCTTGATTTAATACATACTAGGTAGTCAGATGTGATTGCAAGGAACTATGAATATCAACTGAAACTTTAATTATCGGGTCTATATTTCATAGCTTGCAATGATCCTGGATTTCTGGTCTTTGATTTTTTGGAATCTGGATTCCATAGTGAAAAGCCGAAGGCTTTAAACGTAATCTAGTGGCAATATGTGTTGAACTATCTTAAATTCTGTTGCGATTTGTTATAGCAAATCATTATTGATTGAAAATATCTCAGCTTTCTATCCATGTTAAATTTCTGTTTAGCCACAAAATCTTAGCACTACATTTACTTATTTATCATTGAAATCTTATGTATCTTGAAGTCTTCAGTATTTATGCTATCACAGAATTCTATTCCACTTCAGAGAGTCAGATATTGTAGGCACTGCAAGGCATATGTAAAGGGGTTTGACCATCACTGTCCCACTTTTGGAAGCTGTATAGGTAATGACAACATGCGGGTTATAGTTCTTTACATTTTTAACTACTTCAGACAACAAAAACTGCTGTGTTTTTTGTTCTTATTAAACTAGTCTTGGATTTGGTACAACAATGGGTCTTGCTGTCTTTGTGGATGTGACATTGATATGCTTTTAATGCAGGTCAAAAAAAACCATGTCCTCTTCATAATCCTCCTTTTTGGGTTTGTTTTTACTGAGGCTTCGTATGTAGAATGCTCATCTCAATGTAAGCTTGAATATATTGGATGCTGACCTGCATTAGTTTCAACAATTTATTTTTTTGGTGAAATTAATTATGCTAATTATTAATTTCAAGAGGATTCACATTTGCTGTATATCACTTGAATATAAAAAGGCATCCTCAAGTTGGATAAGCCACTAGGAAATTGGCTCAAGTTTGCTGTCTGAATACTCAAAGTTATGCCTATTTATGGTGACTGGATAAGGCCATAAATTGTGAATACTACTGCCTATCATCTTTCTATTCATATGATGCTTACTTCTTTTTATGCCTTTGTTTAGAATCAGCTAGTATTCAGATCTGAACAATGAGGAAGAACTTTTTGTAATTGCTGTGAACAATCATTTCATTTTTACTCCAGTAGGAAACTGTTCATTAAAATAAAATGGAAATAAGGAAGGTAGTGGTGTTTGCTTCTAATACAACCGGTTGAGCCATGCCTTATTTAATTAGCAATGCTAGAGTTGTTATGATTTTCAACACCCAAATTTTCAGTTTAGTTTAATTATATTTCAAAGCTTGATAGGCATAAGTAATATGAACTAGTAGGTGTCTGAATTGTGACATGAGTGCCCCATTTATAATACATATTTTAGAATAATTTGGTTTAGTAGTTTAAACTTTATGTCCGATGTGATGTGCCCATTGTAGTAAGACTTGTCTTATGTTGAAAAATGTATATATCACAGTTGGTTGCTGTTACGTCTAATTGTGTATGTGAACAAAATTTTTATTTTTTCTCTTTTAGGTTGCATATTAACATATTTAGTGAATCATTATCTTAACCTTTTGTTGTTGTTTTTTTTATTTTTTATTTTTTAAATGGCAGATTGGAGATGAACGAATTTGGTAACCTACATAGCAAGAGTTTTTAGTTGATATTACCAGACACATCCATCACAGTGTAGTTGTACTTTTTGTTGATATTACCAAACATGTATTTTGACTATGTTGTTGTGGGTTATGATTATATTGTGATGGATCTTATTTTTTTGTTGATATTTTATTGAATAGATTAAAATGAACAGGTTTTTGTTGATGTTACCAAATGAACTGGTTTTTGTAATGATTTGTAATGGATATTATATTCAGCAGGTTATTAAAATGCACAAGTTATTTTGATTGTGTTGAAGTTTTTGATTTTACTAGAATAGATGTTATAGTTTGGATGTTATATATTAATTTCTTGATATTATGAGACATGTATTTTGCTTGGGTTGTTTTATGATAATGAACAGTTTAATTTAATATTGATTTGTATTAAATATTTTATTTAATAGATTATTAAAATGTACAGGTATTGTTTATTGAAAAAAATATATAAATTGCAAAATATAACCCTCCCCCTCAATTTTTAAAATTTATTTATTATTGGCGACGAAAAAAAATAGACACTAAAACTTTCTAATCTCAACAAATAATTTCGTCACGCATATTCACTATTTTATCACTAAATTAAAATATTTGTTGACAAAAGTTTTAGTCACTGAAGGGTCTTTTTTTTTTCATCTTTTGGTGACGATATTTTTGTCACTAAAAATTTTATCGCTATTTTTAATGTCGAAATATTTTGTCACTCAAAACAAATATAATAAAATTTTATTTAATTTTAGTGACGAAATGGACGTTATAGGTGACAAAATATTTAACATTTAGTGACAAAATAAATTTTCGTCATCAGGTACTTTTAGTGACGACGAATTGATGACGAACGTGGTGACGAAATTATTTCGTCACGGATCAATTTGGTGACGAAAATTTCACTATTGGAGACGAAGTGATTTTGTCATTAAAGTACCATTTTGTTGTAGTTGGAAGGCCTTCTCAATTCGTGGTTGGGTGGTAGATTGAAGGGCTTTGATAGGTTAATTTGGAGAGCTATCCCCCTTATTGTTCTTTGGTCTCTTTGGAAGCACAGGAACGAATGTGTTTTCTCTGAGACTCAACCCAATTTCTTTGCCCTGTGTGAATTAATCAAAATCAGAGTAGCTTTTTGGTTGAAAGCATCTATTAAGAACTTCCCATTCTCAATTGATGATTTAGCTTTCAAATGGAATCAAATCAGGCTTTGTTCCTGATTCTACAGTTGGTCTTTGCCTTTTGATCCTCCTACTTTTCTCTGTTTGTCTTTGTTCTGATCTGTCTGGGTGTATTCATCATCAGTGGTCCTCTGCTTCAGAGCTCTGTTTGCTGAACGTTTGCTGTGAAATGAATAGAAACCAGTTGATATTCTGATTAGAAATTACAAATATTCATTTGCATTTGAAGGGAGATCATGGTTTCTGTGGGTAATGGGTGTTTTTTTGGTGGAATGCAACTGCTATAGTGAGATTGCAACTAGTTTTTGGTGGTCTGCTGCTAGGTAGCTCTTCTATTGGTCTGCAACTGATTTGGTCTGTTGTGCTGGTCTGGTGCTGTTGTGTTTGGACTGGCTGCTGCTGTGTTTGGACTGGTCTGTTTCCATTCTCTGTTTGCTGTTGTGGCAGCACTTTTTGCTTTCTTTTTGTTGGCTTCTCACCAACTGGCGCTTGGAGCTTCATCTTAGCTCCAAGCTTCTCTTTATTGATATAACTTATCAAACCTTGTATGTTTTCATCAATAAAGATTTATTTGCCGATAAAAAAAAAAATGTATCTAAAAATTAAAAAAAATAATAACTATTAAAATATTTAAAATAAGAATTGAAAACTAAAAATATTATTTTTGAAAACTCAAAAACAAATATGGTGATAATAATAAAATTATCTAGTATTATCTTATTGCACTTCTTGATGTTTTAGGATTTACACTTGCTGATGAATTAGGATAATAATACCATTATTTAGTGATTGCATTTACACTTGCTTCTCTTATTTTAGTGATTGCATTTGCACTTTGTTTTTTTTTTTTATTATTATCTTAGGGCGATTTAATAATTGCAACTTGTTTAATTTATTACATTTGTCACTAAAAAAATGTATAATTTATTTTTTAAAAACACAATTATTGTCTATTTTTTTAGTAAAAAATTGAACAACTTACAATTATCGGATCGACTTAATCTTTTTTGTTAATGAAATATAAGGAGTGCTCAACAAAATAAACTGTTCGAATTATCGAAACAGGACGCGTAATAGGCCCCATGAACCCAAACAACACCTTGGATTGGAGGGAATCCTCCAATAAAATAAATGTATTTCTCTTGGTCCATATATATCACTCGATTAGACAAGCAAAAATGAGGGAAATTGATTGAAATGGAAGAAATGAATAGAAATCTATTTTTCTTATAACTCATATTTTGAATCTCTCTGAAAGTAGAGAAAGTAAGAGATAAATGAAATCAATTAAATACTATTTTGTTATAATACCGAAATTGTAATTTTAGATAGAGTAGAAATTAAAAGATTAATTTGATAATATAACATTATATATAAAGGTTAATTTTGATAATACTAAAACTATCAGTACGTCTCTAATTATACTTTTCAATTTTCAATCTACTTGGATTTGAATTCCATGGATCACTAAACAAAATGAACGGCATTCTTTGAGTCTATGAGATCTATCATCTGTCATAGGTCTTGTTTCCATTATTTGAATCTTTTATTTTACAGAATCATTCGTGTATATTATCTATACAAAAAATTTCTCAATCTCATAATTATAATTTATTCAATTTATCACATTTGTATCTAAAATAAATAAATGATAAATTTGATTTTTGACTTAAGGAGTGTTTAAGCATTGATTTTTGTAGTCATTTTTTTATTTTGTGATTTTTTTTTAAAGTTTCCAAACACCACCTTAATAATTGATGGAAACTGAGCTATTTGGAGTTGGGTGGGGGTGGAGGTGGTGGTGGGGTGGTGGTGGTGGTGACGGTGATGTGGTGGTGGAGGTGAGAGTAGTGTAATAGTGTAGTAATGTTAGTAAGACTTTAATTTAAAAAATATTTTTGCCTTTTAAAAAGAAAATATTTTATGTTCAAAAAAAATTATTTTTCGTTAGCTACAAAAAATATTTTCTATTAATTTTTATTTTTCATCATACCAAACCTGACAAAAAATTTCCGTCTACAATTTGAAAATGAAATACGGCAATATTATGGAATACAATACAATAGTCAATTTATTACTTGTTTGGTTTGTGAGGATACATGACCTGACGAAATCTTTATTGCAACATTACATGAAAGAACAATAAGGATTCTTTATTTAACAGTGCTTATTGTTCTTATATAATTGAAACTAAACCAACCATTAAGCCTTCTTAAACATGACTTTGAATGGCACATCACTCAGAGCCAAACGCCTCGTTCCATGCTCATCGATATAAATCCCAACATCTCTACAAATAACTTTGCAGACATCACACACCCCGGGACAGAAAACAAGCTTATAATCATCATTAAACTTTTCAATCTTAAACCAATTACGCACGGTTTCGGGACCAGGGTTTCCCTCAACACCACCAGTTGTTACAAAGTATTGTCCTGTTGACTTCTCATAATTGGCGAGCCGCCACACAGTTGATTGAACACAGATAGTCGCGGCAGAGAACTTGATGTTCAGATCGGTTGATACCCGAACCACGCCTTTTTTAGGGTTTACAGGAGAGAATGTTAATGGGAGGCCATGGTCGACCTCTTGTCGTGCTTGGACCACGTCGAGTGGGCACCTTTGGGTGGTGCTGGCTAGGGTTAGCCCACCACCTTTGCCGCGGAACACGGGCAGGATGTAGTAATCGATGCCTGCTCGGACCTCTTTGCCTTCTATGTCGCGGACTGGGCTGGGAGCAGAGCTGGCTGTGCAGAGAAATATCAAGTTGAAGGTGGAGAGAATAAATATTGAGAGGAATATTGTTGTCTTCATTGTAAAAGGTTTTTGTATACTTTATTATATGTGTGACATTCATTAATATGCATGGCAAAGGAAGTGCTATTTATAGATCAAAGAAGGTGTACAGCTTTGACGTGGTGGGTTATTACACGTTATGTACCCGGTGTCTATTATTGAAAAATTGTCACATATGGATAATATTGTCATATAGAAATGTTTGGGACCTTTTTTTTGGGGTTTCATGACTCCAATTTTAATTTTGGCCCTTAATGTGTGTGTGAAGTTCACTCATGTAAGTGTGAATCCCACATTATGAGTGGTTGGGATGAGAGTAGAAATTGTAGGGGTCATGTATGTGTGGGGATTTCTATCACAATTGTATTATCATATCATAACTCAAACCAATCATCCAATAATACAAATATAATAAATCGACCAAAATTGAAGGAGGTTCCACCACATTCAAGTACAAACCTGGTTATTTCTTACAGTTTGGAAGTTAAAAATTGTTGTATGAATACATTTTTCACTGAGAAATCATGTAAAATCTCAATTTCACTATAGGAATTTACACATTCGGCGACTAAAATTGCCGACTAAAACAAATTTAGTCGCCAAAGATAGGCACTTTAGCTACTAAAACAAATTTGGTCGGGAAAGGTTCTATTTTCAGCTACAAAGAATAATTTAGTCGGTGTTGATGTTACTTTTGGCGACTAACTTAAGTTTAGTAGTTGAAAATAGGATTTTGGGCTTAAAAAAAAATCTTGGTATGTAAATGTACAATCTTTAGCAACAAAGAATAATTTAGTAGCTAAAGATGTTACTTTTGGTGACTAATTTAAGTGTAGTCGTTGAAAATAGGATTTTAGGCTACAAAAAAAAAAAAAAAATTGGTCCCTAATTGTACAATGTTTAGCTACTAAGAATAATTTAGTCGCTATTTATCTTACTTCTACCGACTAAACTATTTGGTCGGCAATTGTAATTAAGTTTTGGATGGAAGATTTCCAATTTAGGAGGGATTCCTAAAACAATTGCGACTAAATTATTCAGTTCGTCGGGAAAAACTGGTTTTGTTTCTTTTTGGCAACTAACAGACACTGGTTGGGAAAAAATAAACCTAAGAAATTAAGGTCGATCTGTCTCTCTCTCTCTCTCTCTCTCTCTCTCATTCAGGCCTCTGTGTCACTGTCTCTCTTACTCTCGCCTCACGCCTTTGTGACTCTCTGTCTCTCTCACTCTCGCTTTTGCCTTCCTCTCTGTCGATTTGTCTCCGTCTGTTACACAAGCACCACCGCAAGGGTTACACGAGCATCACAGTCACTTCCAGATATCTCCTCTATTTCGCCCTCTCTCTATCTCTCTCTATTTGTCTCTGTGTCTTCCTCTCTCTGTTTTCCTCCATTCAAAATTGTGAGGTGCCATATGTTGAAGAAGTGGAACAAGTATTGTTCCTTCCATCTCCATCGACCTCTTCATCACAAAGATCTTGTGTATTATCCATCTAATTCACTGCAAAACCACACTACACCCAACAATCAAACCACTAGTTTTCGAAGCATTGTCGTTTGGTGATGATGAACAGACCTTGCTGAATTAATTGGAGTTTAATAATCGACCCAGCCCCAAATCGACCCAGCCCCAAGCTTCTTTTCCATACTCCATCTATGAGGATGTTGGTCATGACCCATTAACAAACATAGCATCGATTCCTATTGAGTTCCGTTTACTGAATCACCTACAAAAACTACTCTCTTCCCTCTGATCAAAACTAGCATTTTTGTTTAGTTGAACCTAGGAAAAATAACAACCTTCTCTCTCTCTCTCTCTCTCTCATTCCTTTTTCTCTCTCTGATTTCAATGGCATCAGATTGAACACCTCTATTCAGGTACCCCTCTCTATCCTCCCAATCTAGTTTGGTAGAACTATTGTGTGTGCCTCTCTATGTTTTAATTTAATGTTTCAACTGTTGAACGCAAATGAGTTTAACTGAAATGCTTGGGTAAATCACTAAGTGGGGTTAATTGGCTCAAATTCTAAGCATCTCATATTAGCCAATTGAACCATTACTACACTTTTTCACATGTTGAGTTCAACTTCAAGCAATTGAGTATAGCACCTTAGTACCTTAAAAAAGGCACAAAAAAAAAAGGCATTAAAATTAGGCATAATAGGACAGATGGTTTGGTCATGTACAATGAAAACCTATAGATGTAACCATAAGGAAGGTGGATGTGATCACCACATATGAAACTGTAAGCGGAGGGGAAATTCAAAACTGAATGCGATAATAAAAAAAGATATGCATTTGTTTAATCTAACTGAGAATATAGCCTTTGACAAAGAAGAATATTGAAAAAATATTCAAATACCCCACTTTATTGAGAAACAAGGCTTAATTTCATTTGGTTTGGTTTGGTTTGGTTTGGGAGAAAAGCAAAACCTAATGATCTAAGATTGGTGACTGACAGTGATACATAATTTTGACTATCAAGAGCACAATGAGTTTGTTCTATGTGATGTGTGCATTTATTCAAAACTTAATAAAGTTAAAATTTGTGTTCAAGCCCATGCTAGTCTCTGTGGTGGCTAGTGGCTTATGGTTTTATTTTTCTGTGCAGAAATGGGTTGAAATTATAGGACAAGCACGCCATATGTGGATTTCTTGAAAGATCAAGATGTAATCAGGATTGTCCTTAATATATTGCAGGTATGTTTTACGACTAAGACAATTTTTCTCGAGTCAATGAAATTACATTATTTGCTGTACTTCCAGAACTTGGTTCTCTCATGAGATGGAGCATTATTTTTTCTAAGCCTCTTCTTCTTCTTCTTCATCATCATTTATCTATTTAGTTATTTTCTTTGGGGGTGGGGTGGGTATTCTGTGTGTGAGTTGATGTGAAATTGAAACTACTTAGGGAGTCTTTGGCAACCCATGCTTTATTATTTGACTTTGTTTTACTACAACAGAATGCACTATTTTTTATTTTATTTATTTTTTTAGCATGGAGATATTTGAACATAATAATGGTATTTTTTTGGTCAAAAATATCGAGTAATACAGGACAAAAATATTCAGTTCTTTGTATGAGCACACTCCTTGGAAGTAGCAAGGATTGAATGTAACAAAAATTTACCATCCTGATAGAGGACTTAGTTCACTTTTCCAATAAAAATTACTAACATGATATTATACTGTATTTCAGTAGTCTAAAAAAGAAAAAAAATTATTATACCACATTCTGAAAGAACTTTAATATTACTTAAGAAGTTCAAAATCATTTTGTATTGATCCAAAATGAAAACTGTGGCTTTCTAGTGAATGATGTACATGAATATTTCCCATTTAAAATCTTTCCGCTTTTTTTTTTCCCCTTACTCGCGGTACATTACCCCATCACAACATTGTCATTATTAATTCAGTAAGTTGAAATTTGGTGCAAAATGCCAGCTACAAACCTCTTCATGTCCAAATTAGTCTAATGAATGCACCAAGCTGTAGAAATATTTCTCATTCTTAAGGTTTTCGAAAGGAATGAGTAATGATAGTATCATGAACAACATTTTGAAAGAAGAACATGTATGGCATCAATCCTTTGGAACATGGATAGCTAATTTAACTAGCCTAAACTTGTAATATGCAAGAAGTTTAGTTTGACTACATTTGAAAGCCATGAAAGTGCAGTAAATCACAACAACAGATCACAAATCATATATCCCCATGCATACAAAAGATCAATGTGATATAATTTGAACACATCAATTTTCAGTTGTCATCTAGAAGAAACATTCAAATTTGAACCATAAAGAAGAATTCAATGTATGTCGATGTTATTGATATTGTGATTTCAATCAATTCTCATATTTGAAATTACAGAGAACCACTGTGGGTACCTCCGATCAGTTCTGTTTTGTGCTGCTGGGTGCTGGCCCTACTGTCAGTTCTATTGGGCCAAAGAACAAGCCCTCTCTGCTGTTTTGTTTTGGTCTGTGGGTGCCTTGGAGGATTGGGAAGGCTTCTGATCTGTTGCAATGGTGGAGGCTTAATTTTTCTGCATTGTTGCTGTTCTTTTAATCTGTCTTCTTCCTGTTTCTTTGTTTGTTGCTTTCTTTTATTCTTTTGTTCTCTTTGTTGGTGCCTCACCAACTGGGCGCTTGGAGCTTCTTCTTAGCTCTAAGCTCCTCTATATTGATGTAATATTTCATACTTTGTTTGTTTCATCAATATAGATTTTGTTTAGCCGATAAAAAAAAAAAAAAAAAAAAAAAAAAAAAAAAAAAAAAGAGAACCACTGGGGTTAGCCCAATGGCCAGAACCCAAGTACCTCACTAGGAGGTCAAGGTTTAACTCCCCCTCCCCCTCTAATGTACCCAAAAAAAATACAGCGTAATTTTGCAGCTTTTACAATGCGACTTTTACCTTTCAGCAAGCTACACAACAGTACCCCTGCAAAACTTTTTAAGAATTCCTCTTCATTGGCTGTAATTCACACAGAAGATCTTCAGTGACAACATAAGACAGCCAACACAAATGCTAAACATACAACACCGACATTCTGCACGAAATTGCCCTTAGATGGCAACCGAACACGGGGATGTGGCAAGCTCGGATCCATTGTTCATCTTGCAAGGGTCCAAGCTACATCTGAGAGGAAGTAATCTGGTTCACCGTGGCCATAAAAAGAAATATGGCTGTATCAACCATGCCTTGAAACTCAGATGTCAAGCCAAGGAAACACATCTTTTTGGGTGTGCTATTTCTCAAATGCATTCATACAGATCTTCTCCAGCAACAATGGCCAATCTTCTCCAAGTTGCTGTGGATTTAACTCCATTGCAACCTTGAAATCGAGCAATGATATTGGTGTCATTACAAAGAATTGTAGACATGCTCCAGATTGACAAGAAAAAATGTAAGTGCCCTTGTTATGTACTTTTTTTCTTTCTTTCCCTCTGCGTTGGCTATGGCGGGGAGTTGGCTAATATTACATATCGTAAGAGATTTATTGTAATTTGTTATTAAAGGGTTCCATTCTTTGTATCATTTGGATCAAATGGTTGTTTTTGTTAATAACTTAATAATGTGAATAAAGGTTCACTTTGTGGATTGAACTTTGTGATAAATTAAACAACTTATCCACTGAAGGAGTAAAACTTAGGGGTTGTTTGGGGTGTCCTAAATAAGTGTACTTTTTGTCATTTTGGACTAAAAAGTTGAGGAAAAAAATATGGTTGTTTGGGTTAACTTTTTGACTTTTTATGGAAAAATGTATATTAAAAAATTATATAAGTTAGTGTGCAGGGGAAAATTAGGATTGGGAGTTGTGCAGCCGTAATTTTTGACTTTTGGTGAATAGTGATAACTTTTTAACTTTTTGAGTAATTTTTTAGCTTTTTGGCAACTTCCCAAACTTGGCCTTATCAACTGTGACTCATGGTTTATCATTGGTAATATATTCAGTGAGAGATTTGAATTTGAATCCATGTGTTCATTTGATTTGAATTTGAATATGAATTTATAATTATTTTACGAATCTGGTTCTGTTTCTAAATCTTGTGTAGGACGAGAGAAGAACTATGGACAGAGAACTAGTGCTACAAGTGTTACTTTATGCCTTGGAAATTACGATAAGATGGATATCAAGTTCATATTATTGCAGCATTACATTTTCATGTGCCATAATTCTCATCTTGGCATAGCTTACTCCTTACTCATGGCACTTAATTTGCATATTTACTAACCATGACTTTTCAAGAGGTTGTTGAACTGCAACTTCTTTTCATAGTATTGATTTCATTTTGTATTTATCTTGCTATGTGGACTTGTTCTTTAGTATGAGTAATCTATGATTCTATCTGCCTTATCTATGATTTTATATTTTACATCTATTCATTCATATTACTGTTGAAATGCATGTCAAACATACATCAAGGAATTGTTCTCATCTATTCATTCATATTACTCTGGCTATGATTTTACATACGTGCATAGTATTACTCATGTCCAACTGCTGATTATGAAGATTGGAGCTTGTTTCTTAATTGCCAACCCTGTAATCATGCTGTAATGCCATCTTATCCAACAACTTAAAACCTTCTTCTTCTTCTTCTTCTTTTTTTTTTTTTCTTTTTTTTTCTTTTTTTTTTTTTTTCGTGTATTTTTTTTGTGTGTGTTAATTGGTTCATTTACCTATTTATATTTGCCATGCTTGGTTTATTTATTAATTGGATTAAATCATAAATTAAGCACCTGAGATTCACTAGTCTTTATTAATACATATTGAAACAACTTTCCATCATGTAAAAACAAAGGTATGGGCTTACAGTTGTGGTCTGTTTATAAAATGTACTTTTTTTTTTCTTTTTATGTGATGTTATTCATTGGTAGTAAAAATATTTTATAATTTTAGTTTATATAGACTTTGTATGTCTATGTTTATTCTGTATGTATTTGCCTGAAGTTCAACTATAAGTATTTTCCAACATCAATAATGAACATAATAACTAATACTTGTGTGCAACTTTACTTTTGGCCTTTTTTGGAGTATTCAGAGGAAGAAATGTGGGTGACATTATAGGGATACATATCGGCATGTAACTAGATAGTAATATCTTGCACATGAAACTATGTTCTTAAACTAGATGATTTTGTCTTCAAGCATACATAATGTCGAAATTTGATAATATTACATAGTTATTTGAAACATATAGATTTTGTGCCTTCAATCATACATAATGTCGAAATGAAATTAATATTACACAGTGATTTGACATATATAGCTTTTGTGCCTTCAATCATACATACGGTACGTAAATAGGACACCTACGTTGGGAGTTAAAGTTGAAAATGTCATAAACTTAGTCGAAGAAAGGGATTCGGGGGGCGAAAATGCAAAACAGCCCCCGAACTACTATTTTTATGTAACGAAAAGCTTCCCGGTGACAAATGTGACATGTAGGGACGGACGGTACGTAAATAGGACATCTACGTTGGGAGTTAGAGTTGAAAATGTCATAAACTTAGTCGAAAAAAGGGGTTCGGGGGGCGAAAATGCAAAACAGGCCCCGAACCACTGTTTTTACGTAACGGGAAGCTTCCCGGTGACAAATGTGGCATGTAGGGACAGATGGTACGTAAATAGGACACCTACGTTGGGAGTTAGAGTTGAAAATGTCATAAACTTAGTCGAAAAAAGGGGTTCGGGGGGGCAAAAATGCAAAACAGCCCCTGAACCACTATTTTTACGTAACGGGAAGCTTCCCGGTGACAAATGTGACATGTAAGGACAGACGGTATGTAAATAGGACACCTACGTTGGGAGTTAGAGTTGAAAATGTCATAACAATAGTCGAAAAAAGCATTCGGGGGTCGACAATGTGTTTATGTGGTAGAACATGAAATGCCCATGTTGTGGGTAACTATTTTGGTAATACTATAGTTTGTTTAACTCTTTCCTTATTAGTTAAACGTGGCACAATATTTTTGGTAAATTCTTTTGTGCTTTTGTTGACTGTGGCCCTTTTAATTGCCATAAACACAACTTTTGGCATTAGTTCATAGAATTGATGCTCGTCTACCAGTCCATGTTTGGGTGTCTTTCATTAATTAATAGCTATTACTCTCCTTGGATTTTAATGTTTGAAATTAATACAGTTGCTATACAGTTGAAATTAATACAGTTGCTATATAGGCACCAAACTAATGAATTTTATTTTTTTTTGTAGATGGTTTTGGACATACAAATGTGGATATATAATTTTTTGACAATTACGGGAGGGCATTGTTTTTATACCTCTATCCGTATATATAGTGGTTCGTACAAATTACTTTTTTGGTCTGGTAAATATCCGATTAAATTTGGCATGGTAGAAATTAGCATAGCACGTGGTACAAAATAATTTTGGGGCAGTACAGATTAAACTTTTGTTGTGGTACATATGTTCTTTTTGTTAATTAATTTGGTTATCCTGTATTATGTATGGATTTAAATTATTAACGTTAGATTAGACTTAGAGTGTATGGAATTTGTATTATATATAGAATTGGACGTTCAAGATTAATTTTTTGGATGCTTGAAATTGAAATGTGTGCATGTTGTTGAATGCTGTAATGGTTGATAATATATTTTAGTGTTGATGGATTATATTGTTTATACAGGGTACAGGTTGTAATATAAATGAATACATGTTGTTTACAAATTTTTTTTTTTAAAAAAAAAACAAAAAACAAAAAATTATTTGGCCACCAAATGTTTTGGTAGCCAAATAGGTAATCAAAAGTTTTGGCTACTAATAATTTAGTAGCAAAAACATAACCCAAAACGTTTTTGCCACCAAATAATTAGTAGCTAAAAAAATTGAGAATGAGATAAATGAATACAGGTTGTTTACAAATTTTTTTTTTTTTTAAAAAAAACAAAACAAAAAATTATTTGGCCACCAAATGTTTTGGTAGCCAAATAGGTAATCAAAAGTTTTGGCTACTAAGAATTTAGTAGCAAAAACATAACCCAAAACGTTTTTGCCACCAAATAATTAGTAGCTAAAAAATTTGAGAATGAGAGAAAGAAACTATTGGCCACTAAATTTTTTAGTCATGGAAAAAAGGTTATCATTTGGCGACTAAAACTTTTGGTGGCAAAAAGTAAAGAAATGAATCTTAATAGGTTTTTGGCTACGAACAGTTTTAGTCGGCAAAAGTCACCACGACTAAGGTAGAACTTGTAGTGACTAAAAATTTAGTCGCGGAAAGGTCACGTTTGCCGACTAACGAAGGATTCGTAGCTAAATATTCACTTTCGGTGACCACTATTTTTGTAGCAAAAATGAACACCTTCCTCGGCTACATGAGCGTAATAGGCAAAAGTCACATTCGGCGACTAACGGCTTTAGTGGCGAAAAGATACCATTTGCCTACTAAAAGAAATTTAGTAGGAAAATGTTTCATTTTTTGGCAACCAAATGAAGTTTAGTCGCTAATACTATCGCCGACAGGGTATAGGCGACGAACTTGGCGACAGAAATATTTGGTCGGTAAATCGTTTTAGCGACCAAATCTATGCCTTTTGCCGACCAATAGTTTAGTAGCCAAAAGTGACATTTGTTATAGTGCTTGATCGTTATGTTTAGGTTCTTAGGGCTCATCATATGTCCTATTTCAATTATTTGAACATTTCATTTTGTAAGGCATTCAGTGTACATATATCATTTGTGAAAAAAAAAAAAATCAATATGATAATTGTAACATCTTCATTTCTATTGCATTTTTTTTCAAAAAATGGAGAGTTTACTTTTAAAAACACACTTATCATTCTTTTAAATAAATTTACAAAAAAAAAACAAACAAACGTGATAAAATGAGAATGTTTCGATTATCGGATTGACTTAATTATTTTAAAATGACATACATAAAAAGTCTTACAAAATGAAATGTTTAGATAATTAAAATAGAACCGACATGAGCCCAAACATTTGAATTTTAATACAAAAATTATCAACTTCAATCATGTTGAGAATTTTCAGCTCGTTGCCATTTATCTGTAAAATTGACAGCTTTGTTTTAGTTGTTTTAGATCAACAGTTTAAGCAAGTTAGGCGAGATTAAAATATAAAATATAAAAACACATTACTGAACATTTTTTTTTGAACAGCAAGAGAGATCTATATTGATGAAAGCATACATAGTATGAGGAAAACATTAATAAAGAGGAGCTTGGAGCTAGCACAAGCTCCAAGCTCCGGTTGGTGAGAAACCAACAAACAGAACAAAGCAACAAAACAACAAGCAAAACAAAAATGCAGCACCAAGACAGATCAGAACAAAACAGGCCCAGAAAAGCAGCACCAAGACAGATCAGAATAGGTCCAGAATTGCAGCACCAAGACAGAGCAAAACAAATCAGAACAAAGCAAAACAGAACAGATCAGAGCAAGACAGATCAGCATCAGAACAGAATAGCAAGATAGCATTGACTGCAACTGGACTGTATAATGCAAGATGACTACTAGGACCTAGCATCAAGGCAATATCTGATTTGTGGGAAGCTGAAAAGGAAGTCATTAATTGAAAATGGACATCTCTTGGATGCAACTTTATATCAGAAGGCTAATCTGGTGATAATGAG